GTGTTAGTAGGTGTGCATGCTATAGAGGCAGTTTACAGGATATCTCCTAGTCCGGCACTTCGACTAGTGCCAGCTGACTGGCTTTTGCCTGAATCAGCATAGGTCAAATAATAATTTTTTGAGCTTATGACAAATAAATAAAAACATAATCCTATTTATTACAATTTTTTTTGTCTTGAAACAGAAACAATTACAGTAATCGCTCGCTTATTAGCACAATATATGAAATTTGCAATAAATTACATTTTCTACAAAATCTATTTTCATAAAAAAATACAAATTATTTGTATAAATCATATTTAAAATGTAGCGAAGTGCACTTTCTTGGTACTCACAATATTGTTATACAAAATAGATATTATTACACCTGAAATAAGAAGGAGTATTGCCAATCCACCACAAATATACTTGAGTGTAGCTCCCGTCAAATCGCTGGCATTTTCCTGTGGCTTGCAGCTTTTGACTGCTCTGAAGCCATAATACAAATAGGTTAAATCTGTCTCATAGCCCTCATTGCAGCCGCAAATATTGGGCGCTACGCAATGACTATTCGGCGGACAACCCATATCGCATCTGGGCAAACATTGCGTACTATTCGAATGGCCATAGCCTGGACAACAGAACTGAATCAACACTGGCAGATAGTCGTCCTAAAGTATTTGAAAAAGTCAGCTTTAATATACAAATATAATATAATATATATATAATATATATATATATATAAATATATACCGGTGGTCCATACTGCCATTTGGTGCATATACCATCGCCGTTAGCAGCTGGAACAAACTGCAAAATCCCTATAAGCAAAACTAGACTTAAGCACGTACATCTCGATTTAAATTGTTTAATCATCTTTGGACTATAGTTGTTACACATAGGAAGTGCACTTTATAACTGAACAACAGAGGTTTTAAAATTAATATAGGTATCAAAGCTCTTTGAGTTATTTACACCCAAAGAAAACTTATACTGCAAATGAGAAAGTATATTTTCAGTGCTGGAAAAGTATATGAGAGTAAATACATATCAAAGGTTAGTTCTTGTGAAAGTTAAAATGTTGTCAGCACAATTTAAAATTCATTTAAACAGTTACACATTAAAAAATATCTATTTATATAAAACTCTTTGTTCTGATCAAGATTAGATGTACTTAATGGGATCGGAGATGTTTCGTTCAATTCACTGCACATTAGTCAAAACTTAAAAAGACCCAAAACGGGGAGTTAAACCTATCAAAAGACATAAAGCCATGCGAACACTTTTATAATCATTTAAATGACGACTTTTACGATTTTTTTAAGTGTAGATAAGTCGGCATAGAGACCTCTAAAAGTAACCAGGCAAGTAAATTACGCGGCAAAATGCTGAGAAATTCTTGGAATTGTATTATAAGAATAAAACGAGAAAGAAGGGATATCTTTGGCACGCCGAAGATTGAATACCCTTGCGGACCCAACCTTTTTAAAATGCTTTGCCCGTATCTAAGAAGCTGAGGGAAAATAGTTAATGCCGATTATGGTTAAGATATCTTGAAAAACAAAGAAGTTTTCCATAAAACAATTGAATTTCCGACCGATCGTTCCTATGGCAGCTATATGATAAAGTGGTCCGATGTAAATAAGATTTTGCATAAATGGAGGGAGCATAGGAAAACTAATAAATGCCGAGTTTGGTCAAGATATCTAAATAAACAAAAATGTTTTTCATACAAGAACCTACTTTTCGACCGATCGTTCCCATGGCAGCTATATGATATATTGGTCCGATCCAGCTGGTTTTGACGTATGAACTGCGTGCAACATAAAGAGGCACTTCTGCAAAGTTTCATAAAGAAAGATTTAAAACTGAGAGACCAGTTCGCATGGAGCAGACAGACGGACAGACGGACATGCCTACATCCATTCGACTGTTGATACTGATCAAGAATATACATTCTTTATTGGGTCGGAGAGGTCTCCTTCGATCCGTTACACATTTCACGACAAAATTATAATAACCTCTGCAAGGGTATAAAAATACCATATCGTTGACTACAAAAAAATTGCGTAATTATACCCTCAACCCATTTAAAATGGGTAAAAGGGTATAATGTATTTGTGCAAATGTATGTAACAGGCTGAAGGAGATCTACTGCTGATCAATTTGATCAAAATTTCATCAAGATCGGTTAAGAAGAAAATGTGTTTTGGCCTGGCCTCACGTTTGCGACAGCTGGCGCAAATTGCAAAAATTTATGTATACATGTACACACAAACATTCATGCGCGTCTTTACTTTTTCTGTGCTGCTATTTTAATCCGTTTTTTTCTCATTAAGACTCGATTCTTGGTGTGGTCTGTTACGAGTTCGAGATCTATCAAGGAAACAGTTTTTTTTATACCCTGAACCCATTAAAAATGGGTAAAAAGGGTATAATGTATTTGTGCAAATATATGTAACAAGCAGAAGGAAGCATCTCCGACCCCATAAAGTATATATATTCTTGACATGTCCGTCTGTCTGACCGTCCGTCCGTCTGTCTGTATGTATGAACGCAAGGATCTCAGAACCTATAAAAGCTAGAGAAATTTTAGTTGTAGGTCCTCCTAGTGCCCGCGCAGATCGAGTTTGTTTCCGATATTCAATAACTTGCCCCGTTTCCAAGTAATCGATAAATATCGATATCGAAATCATTTTTGAGCAATTTTGGTAAATAATAAGAGTCACCAAACTTGACATGTAGCTTCTAGAATAGTATATATATATCAAGTATCTTTCATGTTATACCTATCGCCACCTTCCCGCTACCACCTCAAAGCTATAAATCAAGTTAATTATCCAACTTATATTGCCCATCAATTTAAGCCACAATTTATATGCAATTGTCTTTTTGAGAATATACAAATATTCTATATTCTATTCTACAATTAGATGTACTGCGAACGTGTTAGCAACAGCTAGAAAAAAATTGCAGAAATTTCTGTATACACGTACACACACATTCATGCGCGTCTGCTTTGAATTCCATCAAGCATTAGCATTGCAGTTGCGATTGTTTTCTGTGCTACTATTTTAATTGGTTTTTTTCTCATTAAAACTCGGTTATAAGTGTCGCTCTCGAGTAGAGGCGGCGGCAAGTGGTGCGGTTAGTTGCGAGTAGGGTTCGAACTCGAAAGGAACAATTTTTTTGTTTAATTAAATTTTTCTTTATTACTACTAAATCAAACGAGCGCGTAGAACGAGCTGCATTTGGTATTGGAAGAAGAGGGTTCAGGGTATTCCCTAGTCGGGAGCTCCCGACTAGAGCCTCTTACTTGTTATAAATGAGAATGCAGTAGTCGATCGATAAAACCATCCGGTTGGGCATTACAACCCATTAAAGGTTCTCTGAGCTCCGCGTCCCGAAATGGTCAGCTGACAATCCCAATTGCACATTTAGCCAACGACAACAATAATTTGACCATCCAGGTAATTGACACAGACATGGCAGCATAAGTAATTATGTCCGTCAACGAGATACTCAGTAAGCATATGCAAATACATGCACTCACATAAGCAGCGCTTTTTTGGGCTCCGCCTTTGTCTTAATCATTCTCAAACAACTTTTATGTATTTTGTCGGATCGTCCTGAAAGATCGCCAAGAAAATCGATATTTATCGAAAATATGGAAATTGCAGCTAGTATAATCGAAAGAAAGATTAACTTAGTCTACGTACGATAATTCATTGGAAGTCTCAACTAACAAGAATATAATCTCTATATATAAAACTGTTTGTCCTGACTGACTGACTGACTGACTGACTGACTGATTGGTGATCAACGCACAGCCCAAACCGTAAGAGCTAGGAAGCTGAAATTTTCACTTTAGCTACCTTATGTGGCAAGTGTGGAAAAATCGCGAAAACGTTTGTATGTAACTTTTTGTTTACCATCCGATCAGCCTCAAATTTATTTTCAAAGTTCTTTGTTCAAATTTCATTTGAGGGGTGTTTCGCACTTTTTGGAAAATGCATCCCTCCTTGGTGGAAATGGGGGTCAAATATTTGGTGGGTGACGTTTCGCCCTCAAATTTATTTCCAAGTATCTATATGAAAATTCATTTGAGACGTGTTTTTCACTTTTCGCAGAATTCAAACTTCTTCGGGGGGAATGCGATTCAAAGATTTTTTGGGCGAAGTTTTAAGTTGTGTCCGATTTGCTTCAAACCTATTTTCAAAGCTCTACATAAGAACTTAATAAATACGTATTTCAGCGATTTGGGAAATTCCACCCGCAAGAGTGGTAAATTGGCGGAAAACGGTTGTATGAAAGATTTTTGTTAACGATCCGATCGGCCTCAAACTTATTTTCAAAGATCTTTGCTCAAATTCATTTGAGGGGTGTTTCACACTTTTCGAAAAATACGTTCCTCCTTGGTGCAAATGGGGGTCGAAGATTTGGTGGGTGACGTTTCGCGCTCAAATTCGTTTCCAAAGATCTATTAGAAAAATCATTTGAGACGTGTTTCACATTTTTCGCAAAATCTAAGCTCCTTCGGTGGAAACTGCATTTCAAAGTTTTTTTTGGTGAATTTTAAGTTTGTTTGATTCCCGTCCGATCAGTTTCAAAATCATTTTCAAAGCTTTTTGAAAACATTGATTTTATAACATACGTGCCACGGGCAAGGCCGGGTTATAACCGCTAGTATAATATATATATATGTATGCAATATTCTTCTTATCTCCTGGCATATTAAATTTTCAATGGGTATTAATATATAAACATGTGAAAAGGGCGCTTTGCATTAGGCGGCGAGTGGAGCGGACCGGACCGGACCGGAGGGAACACTTAATTCAGTAGTTGCGTCTGTTGTCGTGTGGACTGAAACGATGATGTGCAAATATTTAAGCCAAGAGATATATGTATACGCCTGGGCAGTCGGTTAACTGATTAACTATCTTGACGTGCTGACAGGCGCCAAGAGCAGCTGCATTGAGATAAGGCGGCAACCAGCCAGCGGCAGTTACAGCATCCAAATGGCAGTAAAGTCAAGAGCTTCAGTCTTGAGCGTCAGTCTTATGTGTCGCGGAATGTTGTCAAAGGTGTCGCTGCTGCTGCTGCTACTCACCTGCCAAACGCAGTCCTTGCAGCTGACCAACTGCAATGCCACGCAGCTGAGCGAGTTGAACGATGTGGCAACGCTGAGCGCTTTGAGCCTGAGCAACTGCAGCCTGCAGCAACAGCTAAAGAACGCATTTTTGCTACGCTTCAATCAACTGCTTAGCCTGGAAGTGCAGCACTGCCAACTAAATTCTCTAGAGGATTACGCACTACATGGTCTGTCGCGACTGCAGCGGCTCTCGCTGGCGCACAACAATCTCAGCGTGATTAAAACCTGGTCGGAGAAGCCGCTTTCCGCTTTAACCTCACTGGACATCAGTTTTAATGCATTGGTTCAACTGCCCGCCAGAAGCTTGATGCATTATCCACAGCTGCAGCAGCTGAATTTGAGTCACAATCTCATCGAGCATCTGGAACCGGAGTGCTTCCATAATCTGTCGCATCTGAAGCATTTGCTGCTCCATAATAATCGCCTGCAGCTAATTGCAGCTAGCTACTTTCGTGGTCTACATCGTCTCTCCAGCTTGAGCCTGCAACATAATCTGCTGGGGCAAGTGGAGCCTGCGGCCTTCGAGAGCAACACACATTTGCGCACGCTGCGACTGGAACAGAATCATCTGAGGGATTTACAATTTCTCAAGGAACGTGGCCTGGCGCGTTTAGTATACCTAAATCTATCTCGAAACACGCTGGAAAAACTGTCTGCCCAGGAATTTTCCAAAAACTTTGAGCTGCAGCATTTGGATTTAAGTCATAATCAACTGAAGGAAGTCAATAACGAGAGTTTGATAGGATTGGAGTCCTTAGAGGTAAGTTGAAACACCAAAAAGTTCTTCAAAGATCACGCGAGAGACCGAAGAAAACCATATAAAGAAAGGGAAATATACTACAATAGTCCAAAAGGGATCGATTGGATTAATTTGAGAGGATTTTTCCCAGATAAAGATATCCTTAAAAAATTATCAAGAAGTATTTAACAAGAACATTAAAAGAAATCAGAATCCGCCAAACATCCTGTATATGATTTGGGTTCAAAGCCAAAATAATATTCAGGTATGCCATAAAAAATCAGAATAATACTTAGGTCAAAATAACTTTTAAGGTTTCAATGAAAATGAAATTAAAGTAGAGTTCCTGAAAAGTCGAGTTCAGATATTTCCCGGTCATTCTCTGTTTTAAGGATTCAATATAACGAAGGAATTGTCAGCGAGTGTGATTCCTGGAATGTGTAATTCCGTTATTTCCCGGCCATTTGCTTGGCCTTTCCCTCGTTGACCTTCGTTCACCGCCTCACATAGATAACAAATATTATCTTATCTCATCTCTTGCTCACAGCGCCTCAATATCAGCCACAATATCGTAAGCCACATAGACGCGGATGGTCTACAGCCACTGAGTGTACTACTTCAGCTTGACATGAGCTTCAATCTTTTGAGTTCGCTGCCTGAGGAGCTCTTCCACGCAAACAGCCAGCTGAAGGACATTAATTTGGCCCACAATCAATTGCACGAGCTACATCCTGCCCTACTGCACCAATTGATGCACTTGAATCAATTGAATCTGGCCCAAAATCAACTCGAAGATGCCAGCTGGTTGCAGCATCTGGCGCCGGCGCTGAATCGCTTGGCTCTACGCGTCGATCTCAGCTCGAACCGGCTGCAGTCGCTCAATTTGAGCAGTCTGCTGTTCTTCGAGCATGTGCAGCTGGCGGATAATCGCTGGAACTGCTCCTGGCTGGTCAGGCACATGTTGAGAACGCCACCAACATCGCTGAACTTCGCTCGCTCCTGGCCCATGCTGAGCGCCTGGAGCGTTAAGGAATTGTTAAATATTCAAGGCGTCGATTGCTTTGATGGTCAGCAGAATCGCTCAATTGTGCTGCTCGATGTGGGCGTGGCCAGGCAACAGACGGGGTCCAACTGTGACTGTGAGGTAAGTCAGTCCAGTTTCAGCGTTCAAAGCACATCGAACTCTCCTTGAAATGTTTGCAGGAGTCTAAGGATGAGCTGGCTACTTTGACGCCACCGTTGACCTGGCCCAAAATACGCACAGATCGCTTCGATTCCCGTTCGGTGATCATCTGGATGCTGGTGGCCATTGCCTTGGCCTTTGCTGGACTGCGCTGGGGTCAACGTTTCATGGATCGAAAGGAGCGCAGCAGAAATCTTCAGAAACTAAATGATCACGTAAGTTATACGAGGCAGTAGAGAACCGAGACAAGCAGAACAAATTACGAGCAAACATTTAATTTTTGAATAATGAATACTAGATGCAGTTAAATTTTAAACCGAGTAATACATTTGTACAAAAATATATTTGATACGCGAGAAGATCCTCACCCAAAATAAGAAAAGCACACTTCTTTCTTTCTCTAAAATTTATAGAAACAAGTTTTCCTCACAGTTAACTGAAGAATACCAGAAGTAATTATAACCCAAAAACGATTAGAAAATTTCCTACCTAAGAAAAGAGAGAAGCGATAAATTCACTTCTAGTCCCGGGCAACGCCGGTTAATTTCTTCTAGTACACAATGTGTATGATTCTTTTTGAACAAATTTTACGAGGTTTTTATAAAATTATATATTATAGCGGGTATTTCCCGGGTATTGCCCGGCCTTGCCCGTAGAACGTTTTGCGCTAAAAACTTTAGATATAACCTTTCCACTAAGAACACACCCGTGGAATATTTAAATCTACCCATCTTGATCCCTACTTCTATTTAGAAATATGTCTTTGCTGAACGTATCAAATAAATTCTCACAAATATCTTTGAAAATGATTTTGAAACCGATCGGATGGTAAGCAACAAACTTTCATGCAACCATTTTTCGCCAATTTACCACTGTTGTGGGTGGAATTTCCTAAATCGCTGAAATACGTATTTATTAAGTTCTTATGTAGAGCTCTGAAAAAATTGATCACCAATCAGTCAATCAATAAGTCAGTTAGGACAAACAGTTTTATATATAAAGATATATATATTATATGTATAAAAAGAATATAGCAAAAATATTAAAGGTTAAATTCAAAAGTGTTGGAAATTTAAAAATAGGAATATTGAATTCTTAAGTATTTAAAATCCTCAAACAATAAAAAGTCTGAAAAATAAAAGTTGTTATTTAAAGGTATAAGAATAACTACAAATCGTTCAATGCATTATTTTCAAATTTCTAGAAAACTCTAGTTTATGGTAATTATAGTTTTTGAACATTTCACAAGAACACATTCAACAAAACAAAGCTAAGCAGAAGATTTGCTTTTGGGATTTCCAACAGATTATAGACTTATAATCGAAATTAAAACGTACATATGTTTATTCTTTCCTTACAGCCCCTGAACAAAGTGGAATTGGAAGCACAGCGCTTAAGAAACGATCGCGAAAGATCGTAGTAAGAAAAAAGCAAAAATCTGTAACTACTAAATACTATATAAGTAATTGTATATGTAAACTATAATTAAAAAAAGCTGTTAAAACATTGTCTGAGAATTGAAGGCCTAGGAGCTAAATAATAATATTTATGTAAATCATTTGTAGAGTCGATCAATCAACGGTCCGTACTTGGTGTGGACAATATTGCGTCTGATCTTGAGTGTGGGACCCAGTTCGCCGGTGGCCAAGGAGAATTCATGGGGAAGCAAAGCAAACTTTTGAACACACTGTGCTTTGGAGATGGCATTTTTATTGGCCCGCTTGATGCCCGCCTCCAATGCCTCCAAGAGCTTGGGCTCGGCATTGACCTCTAGAGCTGCGGCCAGAGCATTCGCGTCGCTGGGCAACTGCAGATCGTTGCGTATATTGAGCAGCTCGGAGAGATGCGTTTGCTTAAGGCCCAGTTCGTTTAGCCACTCGATCGTCTCCTCGCGCAGCTGATCCAGCGGCAGTCCCGTATTGGGATCAGATTTGGTTTTCAAGGCCAACAGCACCGTCAGATACTTGCGATGATCGCCCACCAACAGGGCATTGCTAACACAGGGCAACTCGTGCTTGATCAGCTCCTCAATATGCACTGGTGGTATATTCTCGCCGCCGGCTGTGATGATTAGCTCCTTGAGTCTGCCCGAGATGACCACATTGCCGTGCGCGTCCAGGTAGCCCACATCGCCGCTGTGCAGCCAGCCATCCGGCTTGATGGCCTCCTCCGTTTTAGCCGGCTCACCCAGATAGCCCATGAAATTCATGCGTCCACGCATTAGGATCTCGCCCTGGCCATTCACATCCGGCTTGTCTATCTTGACCTCTGTGCCCGCGATCGGTGCCCCTGAGCTATAGAGATTTGTGATGCGCTCGTTCAGCGTAATGGCCCCGCCCGTCTCTGACATGCCATAGACATCGGCTAGCGGCATGTCCAGGCCCAAAAAGAAATGTTTGAGCTCCGGGGAGACAGGTGCGCCGCCCGTTAATAAAGTCTTGCATAGCTCCAGGCCCAGCATCTGGCGTATGGGTCGAACGATGAGGGACGCCAGCCAGTACTTGGCCTGGGCGTATAAAGAGAGTTTCTCGCTGGAAAATTCAATTACCAATCATTATTATTATCTGAAAGAAGATTATCGAACTCGAATCTCACCCAGCAATTGTGGCCAGCTGATGCTGGGCGACCACTTCGCGCGCCTTGGACAACAGCAGGCGGGAATAGGGTTTGGCCTTGGCCTCGGCGGCCACAAGACGTTCCTGGAACTTCTCAAAGACACGCGGCACTCCGAACATACGCGTCGGTCTGGCCTTTAGGAAGCTGCGCACCAGTGTACCCTTGAGCGCATCCTTATCCGCAAAGTAAACACAGCCGCCGTGCGCCATAGCCACAAAGATGTCAAAGATTTGGGCGGCAATATGACTCAATGGCAAATAGCTCACCAAACGCTCGGCGCCCAGTATGGTGTTCTCCATGGTGGCGGCCACAATTTTCGTGTCGTAGACAACACTATCGTGGGTAAGCATTACCGCCTTGGGCATGCCCACTGTGCCGGATGTAAAGATCAACATGGCGCAGTCATTTGCATAGATTTCACGCTCACGACGCGCCAGCTCCTGCTGCAGTTGCTCAGTGTCGAGAGTTTCCAGCGTCTGCCTCAAGTGCTGCCAGCTAAAGTAGTCCGGCTCCTGGTTGACAAAGCTCTCGTACGGCCCGTGCAGCTGTATGACAGCCTTCAACCTGGGCAGCCTGTGCTTGATCGCCCTCAGCTTGGCCATTTGCTTGTCATCATCCACCACGCAGACTGTTGCATCGCTGGTTTTCAGCGCATGGTAACACGCCTCGGCGGAATTGCTGGGATATATGCCAGCCACAACGCCGCCGGCACGCAGTGCGCCCAATTCGGAAAAAAACCATTCCGGGCAATTAAACGAGAGGATGGCCAACGAGCTGCGCTCCTCCAGGCCAACATGCAACATCATTAGCGCCGCCTGCTCCACTCGCTTCTCGTAATCCGCATAGCTGAGCGTTATCCAATCCTGTTGATCCGCCGATTGCTCCCAGACCAAGGCAGGTAGATGAGCGTATTTCTGGCAGGCGTCGCGAAAAAATTCCGGCACACTCTGCATTCCGACCGTATCCTTCTCATCCCGTCGCAACTTGACAGCCTCATACAGTGAGGTACTCGTATAGCTTGTCGCTGGTCTCAGCTTCTCGTCGCGTTCCATGTTGAATAAACGTCGAGGAATACGAGCGGCCCCTATTTAAGGCAAAAGGCAAAAAAACACTCTCACTCTCGGCTTGACGCTCTGCTGATAAAGCAGGCAGGCGCGGGCAGATGACGTAGTACTCCGTTCGTTACCCGGCTTTCGCTATCTCGGCAAGAGCCCATGTCTGGCTTGGGTCTGACCTGGTTCTATGTGTGACCTTTAGACAGCTTTATCGCCACGAGAACACCATCGAAAAAAATAAATACTCACAATTCAAATCCGTCTGATAATTGAACAGCATAGGATTAACGAAAATTTCAAAGTTCTACGCACTTTTTGACCGACCTTTGGACGCATTCAGGAAAAATCTAATCAGTTGTAATAACCAGCAGGAGATTTTTACAAGACGTATCAGTTGGCATTTTTCTGTCAAGTCATGCCCAATGGTAATTTACAATGGGGAAAACTCTTCTTATTATTACAATATATTCATAATAATCTTAAAGTGAAATGACTTGCAAAACTCAGAACAAAGGAGACATTTTATGAAGCATTAAGAGAATCCCTTAAGATAAGAGTAAGTCTTAAAGAGTACGCACTTATAATTGTTTTTTTCAAAACATATTACTAATAATAATTCATTGAACTCTTTTTCAAAGTTAAAAATTGAAATATTTCGTAAATAGTTTTGAACCCAATTCATCCAAGGAAAGTGGTCTTATTTTCGGATTAACAGTCTTACCACAAATACTTCCTTCTTTATCAGCGACCTAAGCGAAGGATGTGCTTTAAAAAAGTGCACATTTAAAATATATGTATTTTATAAAACAGATATTTACAAACATACATGTATGTATATATGTATGTTTATTAATACACATAAACGAAATGAATTTTTTTTGATTACGATTTATTTTATTTCAATATAATACTGTCATTAGCTTAAATGTATGTAAAATATGGACATACATAAATATATGTATATATAAATATATAATAAATTGATGTGTCTGGCCTTTCACAATGTCAAAACCGCTACGCAATGGAAAATATGGAAACACACAGAAATTTAATATATACATACATATGTATATATGTATGTATATGTATACATATGTACATCACGTCCTTATCAAAATATGTATGTATGTACATATATTTTATGTTTTTATATTGCATATTCAAAATGTGGAAACACAATTCAATTTAACCGTTATGCTTTGTACCCACTGTTCGAGCTGCTATAATCCCCTTGCATATTACAAACACGTGCAAACATACACGGACACAGGCCCACATGTATGTACAGAACTGACCTGCGACAAACACCTGCGGCCGATCGAAAAGCACAGCTGAGCAGCGCAGCAGGCAAAACGGCAAACTGCATGAGCAGGTCAATCATACAAAAAGAGAGTGAGACTAAGAGAGTGTGCGAATGAGCGGGTTAGGTAGAGAGAGGCACATAACAAACAACAACAGCATAACACGCATATGGCGCTGCTGCTGCTGAGGCCGTACATAAAACATGTAACGGTTCTTCTTTGCTCTGCTTTGGCAACTCTCCTCTCACCCCCTCGCCGATGGACAAAACAATGTTAGGCTGGTCACTCACAAGCCCAAACATGATACGCACTCACATACACAGACAGGCAGATGCGCATGCATAAAAACAAATGAATGTACATATGTGTGTATGGGCGTATGTATGTGTAAGGCAATGAAATAGAAGCAGAAAAAAACTCACATACTGTGGGCTCGCCACAGCTGGCAAATACCAAAAACAACAACAGCAGCAGAAGAAGCAGCAGCAACAGCAAACTCGCTGTCGCCGTCGCCGTCGCCAACAACAGAGACGCTGACTGCGCATTGATGTGCGCCTGTTCGACCAACAGTCATTTTTTGTACAAATTTATAATTTATTGTTTAATTTATTTTATTGCAAAATGTCAAACAGTTTGCCACACACACAAACGCACGTCCCCATGCATAAATAGAAAACACATGTATGTACAACTGTTTGCGACAACAATAACAACAACAAATGCAACAACAATGATGACTATGATGTATTATTAACCCAATTGTAATTGTTGCAATTTGTAGACGTCGGCTTATCATTTGTCATGCCGCAACAACAACATTATTATGAAATTATTTACCAATGAACAGCAGCCCATGAATGCCAAACAAGTGTAAACATTGCCGTTTCCATGAGCATGGGTAACGTTGATTCTGAAGGGGAGAGGGGAGCAGAAGCGCGCTTGGGGTTTGTCGTTGGCATTAAAACTACAAAACATAAAGTTGCATATTGCGTTTGTGTTCCTTTTGTATTTGTACGGAAGAGCGACACTCTGCACTACTCGTACATAGAGAAGTGCCTGATGTGTAACGGTACACAAAAGCAAAACATGAAAGGGAATGTGCAAGTAACTGGCACCGTGGGCTTACACATAGATACATATGTATCTATGTATATGGCTTTATCTATTATATTAAGGCAAAGCAAATATATAAAAAAAACTTACCTGCGCTTTAGCTATGACAACAATCAAACCAAAAATTATGATATGCCCAGAGTACAAGTAATGCCATTAGAGTGGACCCTAAAATTACACAAAGAATAAAAAAAAGTTTTTAATCTTGAATATATTTGTCATATATCAATATTTATTAACAAGAAAGCAAACTTTAATAATGATAAAATAAAAAAACAATTATCACGGTATAAGCAAAAACGTGCACATATGCATAGATGGTTCACCCTAAAGATCTACAGATTTGCAAAATAGTTTGATTCAAACATATAATTGATTACATATGTATGTAGGTACACATGTATGTACATACAATTTACATATATAATTCAAAAAGGGAAGTCAGTCAGTCTACTCCTATACGTAATACAAAATCCCTATCAAAAACAATAGAAAATTCTTTTCAATTGCTCAACACTCGCACGCTATACTTAAATATACACAAATAAGTATGTACATATGTATGTTAGCACATATATGCATATGTATGTGCACAGCAAACATACATACGTACATGCATACTTTCGTCACAAGTGTCATTCGGTATATGTACATATGTACGTATTTACTATAATGGAACCGATATGCATGCTATCATTCACCCCCCCCCCCCCCCTCCGACTAACACATCCATCTACATTTTCTTGATAATTGTATGTGTAGTAACTTTTGTTGTACATATTTACACGCACGATTCGTGACGCTAATGTAAGATGCGGGAAGAGGTCGGGGTGTGCACATGTGCATGTCTGTGACTTTTGTAGATTTGTTTGTGTACATATAGATATAGCAAAATAACCAGGCGCACAGCATTGATTAGCAGGCGAGCCAAAGTCAAAGCAAAAAGTTCATGCGAGCAAAGTGACTGAGCAGCCGGGCAGGCAACAATACCAACAACAACAGCGACAATAACAGCAACAAGTACACACAACAATAAAGAAACACATATTCATATACAACACCAACAACAACAATACCGGCAACAGCACACAAAACGATACACACACAAAACTACTAAAAGAGGCAGAGACGAGGCCGACGGACACCCGAGACGGCGTCGACGTCGACAGATAAACAACATTTATATTCATGTACCCGGCAGTAACAAGAACAACAACAACACAAGAAGTGTGGCGTACACAAACGCACACAAACATAAAAGAAGCAAAACAAAAAAAAAAAACGAAAATCAAATAACATATGTACATATTGACAAACAAGTAAACACATGTATGCGCATATAAGCATACATGAGTATGTCTGTATGTACATGCAATGCACTGGCACGATTCATCCACCGCACTGTGCGCTCCCCTTCCCTTCTTTGCAACTCATTCAAACTCATTTCTACGCTCATGAGAACAGCGACGCCAGCGCAGCAGTAGCGTATCGGCAGCAGCAGCAGCAGACTCAGTAGCAGAGTTGTTACGTGGGTCGTAGCGGTAGATGGAGAGGGAAGCAGGCATATAAACGATAACAACAACATATTTCAACAAACATACATATGTACATATAATATTAGCCGCTGCTGCTCTCTTAGCTGTGCTTTCGATAGTCTCTCTCCTCATGGTCGCTCAGTCAGCCACATAAATGGCAATTTCAATTAACAACCGGTATTATAAACTGTTTTAAACCCCACATCATTAACACACTAAAAACGCAAACAAAGCAAACGAGCAACCATCAAAAATGTCAAATCCATAGAACATGAGATAGAAAATAAAGCAAGTATCAAATGTTGTTAGGTCCGTGGTGGTATACTTTTCTATCGCAAAAGTCAAAATACTTGTTGATTATCATTATTTTAAATGAGTTGCAATTTAAACTTAAAGAAATGATTTAAATGAATTAAGTAAACTAACCGTTTTAGTCATTTTTGCTGGGTGTACATCATTTGCAGGTAATAAGCTAGTGGGAGCGCAAGCAAACGAATAAAGAGCAATTGAATTGGCGCCAGACTAGAAGGTCGATCCCTCTACATAACAATGCAAGACGACAGTATGACGTCACATTTACATTTGCTGTTAATAATTTTACCGTTTGAGCTCAATTGCATATGTGTTTTTCGTATATTTCAATGTAAATTGCTCGCAATGCTGTCATTTTAACAAACCTTATCAGTTTTCCGCTACGCTTCCATTCGCCAGACTTTGCTTTCTGTTTATTTTCCCTTTGACCAACAATCAGTGGAAAATTCTCAAGGCATTGCTTGGCTGTTTTCGATGTCGCTGTCTGATAACTTTTTGCCCCGTCATGATTACATGACCCACATATGTCGGCATTAACATTGATGATTGTTAAAATGAGCATATACATAATTATGTTTATATATGATTGCTACTTTTCAGTAATTTATAAATCTTTTAAAATGACACCTTGATTTTTTTTATTATAATATAATAAAGGTAATATTTGCTATAGATGTGGAATTTATTTGCAGCCGTGACTGTTCAGATCAAACTCTGCTCATTTTTCTGACCGCGAGTGTATACAAATGAATTGTTGTTGCTGTAGGAAAGTGCCGATAATCGCACAAATTAAGTGGTTGTTGTTGTTCTTGTCACGTTTTGTGACGTTTGCGTTGATTTCGAAGTTGTCTTAAGTCAAGTCCAAAGACGCTCACATTTTTTGCGACGTCATCAAACAGGCAGAGAAACAAACTCAGTCCAGCATACAGTTACATACATACATATACGCACACCCATACATACATATGTATTTAGATATTGTCGCTCTTCACGTGTTTAGCTGTTGTTGCCCATTACATTTCATTTTCATGCCATTTCTGGTTCTGGCTTTGACTCGACGCGCTCACTCATTACAAGCATGTGCGTACTTACATATGTACATGCATTAACATACCGGCTATATATGCATGATACATACAAACATAAACACAATTTGAGAACGTTGACAGCGACGGCAAAGTCGACGCCGCTGTTACCGCTTTAGCAGCGGCAGCGAAAGCTACTTCTACTCGCACTATATGTGTACATACCAACAATAACAACAACACTAAATACATACATTGCCTACATGTGTGTCTACGTACGCTTGCTAATCATTTCTGTGCGCCTGCTTTCTGCTCATGTTTATTTGTATATATCGAGCAACACAAACGCACAAAACACATATGCAAAAAAATAAAACCCGCCACATACAACAACAACACATGTCTACACACTTTAGCATACATATGTTTTTTGCAGTTAATAAGTGTGTAGAGATGTGAGAATAACAACAATAATGCGTTGACTGAGTGTGGACATTGGCATACATAAGTGTGTGTGTTTGTACTTACCTGTCGTTTTGTTGTTGCTGTTGAGCCGGGCCTCTGTTGAGTTTTTATTTTTTTAATATATACACACACACTCACTACGTAACGGAACATTCGAATAACACTGCGACGCATCGTAAGCGTTCATAACGTGACCACGACTCCATTTTGACTGCTTAAAATTTTGCATAAAATGATCGGTTTACTTTTTGGCACTGTTAACTGATTAACAGCACCGCTAAGCGCGTCACTAAGCTCGGGAGCACTGTTAAGCCTTGCAAAAAAAACAAAAGCAAGGAAAAATGTTGATGAAACATAAAACTTAAAGAAAAAAACATGCAATTAAAATATATATTGTTTACAGTTGGAATATGCATAAATTAAAAAGTGAGGTTATCCAAGAATTTCTTTATTAATTTTACCTTAGTTTTAGGATCATGTAAATGTGGAGTGTAAATGAAAGAACTGAGAAGAAGGTCTAAAGAAGTCTTAAGGTCCGCCATCTTTACTTAAATATAAGAAATTCATTTCCCTGCTCCCTACAACTTTATTTAAGATTTATAAAGTCGAAGGAAGCAGAGAACTGAAACTCAGTTAATTTTCTTATGCTACATCTGTACCCTAGGTATTACCTACATACAATTTCGTTCATGCATGTCGAGGGGACCGTGCATTTTGAAACATAAAGCCAACAAACTGACAGTAACAATAACTCCGATTATAAGGCAGCCCAAAATGATGAGCCATTTTACGAGACTCGCCTGTTCGGCTTTGTTCATATTTCGATAATCCGACTTGTGTTGTACTGGAACTGCTTCAGTCGTTTGATCTGACTGATTTACTGGAGCTGTCTGATCTGATTGATCTGCCTCAAATAAAATTGGTTTCTGTTTTCTTCGTTTTGCATGATCTTTCCTACGTTTGATCGGTTTATCTAATTGATCTGTCTCGTATTCCCTACTTTTCGGTTTTTTTCTATATATATTTTCGGTATGATCCTCGTCATTTGCATCCGCCTGAGGTGGCCAATCTGAATCAATTACCTGATCTGTTGGATCTGGTTGGTTTGTTTGATTTTTTTTATTTTTTCCAAATAAACGAAAAGTCTGCACTGGCGGATCTGTCTGATATATGGAATCTGTATGTTCTGAATCGTATGTGTGGTATCTATCCACATTCTCGATTGGCAAATGTGTCCGTTCTAACTGATATTTCCGATGTCTTCTGTCTAACCTATCCAACCGATCTGGGCGATGATCTGTTTGACTTGGAATATGGGGCCGATTTGCCTGATCTTTTCGATCTACTATATGATGCATTCTGTCTCGCCGATCTGACTGAACTTTTCGATATGCCTGGGTTATCTCTGTTTCGTCATCTGTTAGATTATAATGATGAGTCCAAACTGGAAATATCTTAGTTGCCGGATCTGCCCGATCTGTACGATCTCTTGATACCGTTCCATCTATATGCTTAACCCTGTGCTTTTTCCTATAGGCATTTGGCGCCTTCTTGATCACCTGACAGCCATATTGCTGGGGCAACTCATGCTCCGGCTCCTCGCAAATCAGAAGATGATTGAGGCTATTGCATACGCATTGTTCCAATGCCAGGCAAGGTTTCGGCTGTCCCTCTCGGCAGATCGTGATGCACTTGGGCGTCACAGCGAGCTTTGGTGTCCAGCTGAAGTACTTCTGCCAGCAGCTGCAATTCTCCCTCAGACACTTCTCCGCCGGCAAAATCAGGTGCTGCACAGGCTCGCACCCAACAATCGGCTGCTTTTCAAAGGAAGGCCAACAGCGGCAGTTGCCGGGCGTCAGGCAATCCCCAAAGCGGCAGGCATTGCATTTGGGCTGGCAGCCCGTGGTGCTGTCTACCGTTTCGTAGCCCTCGTTGCAGGTGCACTGCTGGGGGGCGGTGCACTGGGCGTGCACACATTTGGGCGAGCAGCGGGGTCGGCAGTTTCCCGGCCTGCCCACATAGCCCTTGCAGCAGACCTTGCGCAGCATCCAACTCTAGTAGCAGGTGGAAAGGATCAGAGATAGAGAGGAAGAGCTGGAGAGAGAAAGAGGGGGAGAGGGGGAGAGCTTCCCCCTAAGTATGACCCACTTGTTTATCCAAGTTTCCCGATTTTGTCCGCACTCGCTCTTGGCACACGGAATCGCGTTGCGCCCACATCCACGGACAGGAGGCGAGGACGAGTGCAAGGGCTAGCCATGGATGTGTCATGAACAAATTTATCACACTCCAGGGAATTATTTTTCACTTGAAATTTATATGCAAAACTTGCCGCGAACTTAACTTACGATTAGCCATTTCCGAAGAGTTTTTTTTTCTTATAGGAATTTGTCAAATTTTTACTAGTCAGTATTACCCTCTATAGACAATTTTTGAAAAGACTTGTTGGCAGTGAAAAAATAATCAGAAAATACATAGAGTGCTTGCAGGTATTTTAAGAAATGATTGCTTCTTGGTCAAGATGTCTCTACCAAATAGATGTACATATAGAGCTTAGCACAGAACCGGATAGACCGGGTCTTCTTCTTGACTAAGATGTCTCCCAAATAGATAATATCGATTATACCGTGACTGGTTCTTGATGAATCTGCCTTCCAAAAAGATAAGATCAATTACACATAAAGAACCGGGAAAGCCTTTCCCTCTATAACATATGAAAACAATTAAACATTATTAAAATCAGGTTTCCAATCAAATTCCTAGCAAAATCTTTTGAAATATTTATCTTTTATTGACAAAAAAATATTTTAATAAGATTAGTAAATGGTTTTTTTTCCCAAGTCTTAAGTACAATATCTGCTTCTTCTAAAAACATAATTTAAATAAATCAGAGTAAAATATAAACAAAAATTGTATAATAAATTAACATTAATATAATAATTTTAACTAAAAATAGATAAAGGATACTCATGAAATTCTTTTCATTTTCAAACAAAATGTGTGCTTATTATTACTATCATAATCTGTCTAACATTTATCTTTAATCTCTCAATCTTTAAGAGAATACCTTTTAAAAAGGTGGATTTTTGGATATTATTGTTATTTTCTGGTTCACACAATTATAAATAAACAAATATATAGAGAGCATGGTGAAACTTATTAATGTCAAGCTTGGTCAAGATATCTCGAGAAACAAAAAAGATTTATATTGAAGAACCTATTTTTCGACCGATCGGCAGCTATATGATATAGTAGTCCGATCCGACATATGTACTGCCCCCAACAGAAAGATGGACTTAAGCAAGGTTTCAAGAAGATAGCTTTAAAACTGAACAACGGTTGTTGATGCTGATCTAGAATATATGTGCCCTATGTGTACTAATTTTTTAGTATTATTATTTATTTAATATTTAAGTAAAGTAAGTAACTTTGAAAGATTGCAATATGAGTTGTATTTTAAAAATATCAGAGCAACGCAAATATTTATAATTCTTATCGGTTGCGGTTAAAAAGCGGCAGCTATATTTAATATGTACAACTATTATTGATGAATAGCTCATTGTTCGTAGTTGGTAATGCTCAAGCTTAGCCCACAATTCTGGACGTATCAGAGAAATTGGAATTGGGATAATAGCTGACATTATTGCCGCGTTTCACGCAGCAGACTATTATGCCAGCCACGCTGCAGACTATTACGAGTACCATGATGGCAATCACTAGATAGACCCACCAGTTCAGAGGCCTGGAACAGCTGAGGCTATGCAGATCGTTGGGTATAAAGCCCTTGTTACACTTGCAATGATTCGATCTGTCGCAGTAGCTATGCAGTCCACATCTTGGCTCACATTTGGGCCGGCATTTCGCTTGCAGCTTGTCCCATTCGTAGCCGGTGTCGCAGTCACATTTCCTGGGACCCACACAAATGCCGTGCGGGCCACAGCCGTGTGGACACATTAGGTGGCAAATGCCGTTCAGCTTCGCGTAGCCCCGCATACACTGGCAGACATTGGGGCGAACACATTGGCTATTGGGTCCACAAATCGGATAACATATGGGCTGGCATTTGTTGTACTTTGCTTGCCAATCGTAGCCCTGCTCGCAGGCACATTTGTTTGGAGCCACACAGTTTCCATGCTCCCCACAGTCTGGGCTACAGATTGGGTGACAGTCTTTGCCACTGTAGCCCGGCAAACACTCACAAACATTACGATCCTTACAGACAGCATGCGGTCCACATGCCGGCCGACATTTGGGCAGGCATCGATGGCGCTTCTCATCGAACTCGTAGCCCTGCTCGCAGGCACATGTGTCGCGCGCACTGCAGATGCCGTGCTCACCACAACCTTGTGTACACACTGGTCGACATTTGTTGGGCTCCACGCACACCATATTGTCTCCACATGCCGGATTACATGTTATTATCGAGTCTGCTTCAGTCGCGTTCTGTTTGGAGAAAGAAGCTAAATTCCATTGCTTAAAAGTTGTGCTCAATAATATATCTCACATTTGGTGTGGCAACACTGTCCACCTCATTTGCCTGGCTCAAGTGCAGGCATCCCATCAGTCCCAAACTTAGGCACAGTAGTCTCCAAAAGGTATCCATAGCTCTACATACAACACAGCACACTTCTACACCGTTTCGGAGCGAACTAAACTATTCTCGTCTGGTTTGTGGGGATTTTATAAGGTATTCATTACATAAGGGAGGGGTCTTCAGTTTTACTTTTATATATGTAGCTAGTCATGGTGGTTTGTGCTGAGCTTAATATGTGGGTATATTAAGATATGTAATAAATAATGTGTTCTACATGTCCTCCAAATCAAAGCTATGAAAGGTTTTATTAAAAAAAAAAATTATTATAATAAAATAAAATAAAATATAATCCTGTATTTATCGACCACAAACTAACGTGAAAATAGATTGAGTTTTATAAAGAATATTTCGCAATATTTAAATATTAAAAAAAATCTTTATCATAAGGGAAATCTATATATATAACACTGTTTGTTTGACTTATTGACAGACTGATTGGTGATCAAAGCACAACCCAAACCGTAAGAGCTAGAAAGCTAAAACTTTCACTGTAGTTACCTTATGCGATGAAGGTGCATTCGAGATGAAGGGGATTTCGAGAAATTCCACCCGCAAGTGTGGAAAAATCGCGAATTACCTTTGTATCAAACATTTTTGTTTACCTCAAACCTCGGCCTCAAACTCATTTTTAAAGATGTTTTTTCAAAAAACATCTGTTATGAACAGGATAACGGATAAGAGGATAAAAATAATTCCAGATAAGATTAAGATATTATCTAGACGAAGTTTTCGAATAACAGGAGCAAGGACCCCTTTTTACCGAAATTTTCGATTATTCGCGAGCTGACGTTATGGTTAATCGAGGTTCCACTGTACTTGTATACCCGCATAAATCATGGATTAATCATTGCAACTATCGGTTGGTGGAGAAATTGCGCTTCTCTCAAATTTGCCATATTATTGAGCAGATCAGCTCTTTGGGGGCCTCTTATCGAATATGCTCTCTCCCGGTCGCACTTCCATGCGCCACGCCATTTCCATTTCCAGTTGCATTCGCCTTTCCCGTCGCGGATTCGGTACATTTCCAATGGCAGCCAAAGGCGATAAGCCCGGAGCAAAACAGAATGCCAGTTATCGTCGGCATACCCGTCGAGGCGGAACACAAAGAATTATTGTGGCTTTCACTTTGTTATCAGCGCATCGTCTGGCGAGACTGCGTTTAGTGCATTTTGGAGCGAGCCCAGCGCCAGATCTGGACAAAGAACCCGACTAAGATGCTGGACAAGATGCTCTCGTTGCTGCTGCTGCTGCTGCTCGGCCAAACGCAGGCCCTGGCCATAACGAACGGCCACTGCCAGAAGAACATCAGTGTCAAGTACCAGGTGCCATTGACCAGGACACGTCTGCCCAATGCCAATGCCAGCACCAGCTCCGCCGGCGAGCAGTACATTGTGTATGAGGAGCGCATACGCTGGGATACGGTGCAAATATGCTGTGCCGGCTATCGCACCATTATCTTTGGCTTCTGTGAGCCCATCTGCCTGGAGGCGTGTCCGGCGCACAGCTATTGCTTGGAGCCAAATAAATGCCGCTGCCTGCGCGGCTATGAGCACTCGCATCATCCCAATAAGCAGCATCAGTTGATCTGTCGACCGATCTGCCAGGGCGGCTGTCCGGAGCACAGCCATTGTGTCGCCCACAATGAGTGCGAATGCCGGCCGGGCTTTAAGGATGTGAGCAGCTGGTTCAGTCTGAGTCTCAGCTGTGAGCGCATCCAGTGCGGCCCGGATATGCGCTACGACGTCCAGCGACACGCCTGCGTCAAGATCGATATGAGCATGGAGGAGCTAATGCAGCGGGTCGCCGAACGTCTGGCCAAGGGTCTGCAGACCGAGGGTGAACCGCCCACCGAAGAGCAACTGGACGATAGCGTTTGAGGAGCCTACTTCATAAGCCTCACTGTTATCTCTATATGCTATGGATTCAATAAAATGAGTAAGAAAGAGTGCAAAATAAGCTGGCAAATTGAATAAAACGCAATCTGCAAAGTAAAATTTCTTAAAATTTGCTAGGTTTTGCAACAATAACAAGTAAGTGTGTTCTGGTTGGGAGTGTCGATTAGGGAATACCCTGAACCCCGCGCCGAGCTATCTATACCTTCGGTGCTTATAGTCCGATCTCTATAAAATGTATTCAGGACTTAATTGTGACATGCAAAATTTTATATACATATACCAAATCGCAAGATTTTAAGTTATTCAACTGGATTTTCTAATATTTGGTGGATCGAGCGGAGGTTTCCAAAATATTAACTATTTTTCATCTGTTTGTACTATACGATATCCTACATACAAAGTTAGCTCCATCTAGTTTTTATAATTTCCCAGTTTTCCATAATAAACTATATTTCAAAATCGATATTCGACGATTATAGATAAACATTTGATCCCAAAATCGAAAAAATGCATCTCGCTTTTTCGAGATCAACGGGTTCTTACAGACGGACAAAACAGGATCTCTAGCTCTCATAAGTTCTTGGATCGCCGCATGCATTAATATGGACAGACGGAGGGACGGATATGATAACGGATAAATACATCAATTTTATGGGTACAGACAGACGGACGTGGCTAGATCGACTCAGCTATTGATGCTGATCAAGAATATATATACCTTATGGGGTCGGAAATGCGACCTTCTACATTTCACATACATATAAAAATGGGATCAGGGTATTCAAAAATATTATACTAGTAGATAAGAAAGGAAGGCTATCTTTGGCATGTCGAAGACTCAATAGCCTCGTGGTTGAGCTTATAGCGTATACAAATTAATTTACGATCGATTATTCCTATTCCTGCATATATAACTATACAGTTTTCTGATGTGAATTAGTTTATGCTCCTATCTGAAAACTAAGTTAAGCTGACAAATGCAGTAGAACAATTTAGGGTTGTTTTTCATGCAAGAATTTCATTGATCATATACTTTCTATGAGATCTATATGATATCGTGCTTCGACAAAATAAACAGTTATATTTGAAGTTTCATCTTATAGCTTAAAAAAGGAAGAGACTAGTTTGCATAGAAATAGACAAACAGACGAACATTATTCTGATTAAGAATATATTAATTGATCTCGGGAAATATTTTGTTTATAATCGAAAGATATGCTATATATAAAGATATACTATAAAACTATACATGTACATACAAAATATTTAATTGTTTTTTTTTTCCCCCAAATAAACTACAATTTTTAAGAGTTCTAAGGCAATCTGCTGACAATACTCAAACTTTCTTTATGGTTATCAATTTTTAGGACAAAAGCTTTTTAAAGGAACGGGAAACTTTCAAAATTTTCCAAGCATAAGGGAAACTTGAACAATTTCTCCAAGCGTAATTCCATTGTATATGATCTTAAAATCTAGATGTAAAAATTTATTGTAGTAATTCAAACAATAGGAGAGTATAATTTTCTTTGCGTTTCAATAGGTAAAACAAATTAACATAAAATTTAAAACTTATGCGCTAAAGATCTATATAGTTTTGATGGAAAAAATAGTCGTTCATCATAATTAACATCAAGCTCAACATCAACATCAACCTCATCATCATATCGCACTCATACTAATTGAGTGGATGGTTTTTTTTGTTATCTAAAATTTCTCTATATATCGTACAAGTAGTTTATATATATATATATATATACATGTGTATATATTAGTTAAAAGCTGGCACTCAATGGCTTGTAAGTCCGTTAAATTCATTTCATGTTTAAAGCTCAAGTTGCATAGCTCTCTGCCGATTGGTAGAAAAATAAATTTTTTTGGTTTCACAGTGATTGTTTTTGTGTTTGTTCTAGGCGTAAAGGGTCTCAATGAGATCCGCATACATTTTGTTAACCACATTGCGCTTGACCTTCAGTGTGGGTCCCAGTTCGCCGGTGGCAATCGAGAAGTCATGCGGCAAAATTGCAAATTTCTGCACCTTCTGGGCATTCGAGATGGACTGTTTGTTGGCGCGTTTGATGCCATCCTCGATGGACTTCCAGACCTTTGGACAGGGTCCGGCATTTAATATGTCGCTGAGTGTCTTGTGCTCTACGCCCAGAGATTTCATCCAGACGGACGATTCGTGCGACAGCTCATCCAGCGGTGCGCCCGTCTCTCGATCCACTTCGGTCTACCATTTTTGGATTGGATGGGATATTTGGAGTATATATATATATTCGAGTAAAATAGAAATTTAGCTAGAACTTACCTTAATCGAAACCAAGACGGTTAGATATTTGCGCTGTTCACCCACGAGGAAAGCATTGGAAATGCCATCCAATTCCTTTTTGATAATATTCTCAATATGCACGGGAGGAATATTCTCGCCGCCCGCAGTTATGATCAGCTCCTTGGAGCGACCCGTGAGGCACACATATCCCTTGTCATCGATGTAGCCCAAGTCGCCGGAATGCAACCAACAGTCGTCGTCCAGCGACTCCTCGGTCTTCTCCTTATTGTATATGTAGCCCATGAACACATGACGTCCACGTATGCACAGTTCACCATGTCCATTCTCATCCTGATTGATGATCTTTGATTCGCAGCCGGGCAGCGATTTGCCAATGGAATTCAAGTGTATCGAGTCGGGCATACATAGTGTGTGACAGCCGGCCGTCTCGGACATGCCAAAGGCATCCAATATTTTCATATCCAGACTGAGGAAATATTTCTTTGTCTCCGGCGACATAGGCGCCGCGGCGCTCACCAAACTGATCACACGATCAAAGCCCAAAGCAGCCTTCACCTTGGACAGAATGAGGGATTTGGCAATCTTGTAGCGAAAACCTCCGTTGCTCTTGCTGCAAAAAGTTTGAGAGAGACAAAAAAGAAAGTTTTTTAATTGGAATTCTTGATTAGTTTGTGGCCGGCAAGTTGATAATTGCATGTGTCAAGGATAAGGGAGTCGCCCGACAGTAGAGCGGGTTTCTTAAAGTGCAGGACGTTTGTGTATGTGTGTCTCTTAGTGGACTTTTCGAAGGTGAGCTAATGTACTTGAAGGCTTTAATTGCATGGACATTCATTAAAAGAAACCCCAGGGGAAAACTCTCTTAGCATCCAAAGGCTCACAGCTAATGGGACATATTAAAATATTATAATTAAAGAAAAAAACTTGTTCAAGTTCCAGCCCTAGTCTTAATCTGATTATTCTGATTATCTAATAAAATAAACTAGAGCAAAGCAGAATTTTGTAATAAACAAATTCCTATAACAGGTTTAACTAAAAATATAAATGGCCGCAATAGAAATCATATAGCACGTATATATAGTAAAATCAGTTCCTGTTTTTTTAAAGACTGTTGAAAAGGAATTCGTAAAGTTAAAAAGACTCTTTAAAAAAGAGAGAAGAGTTAAAAAAAAGGAAGTTTCTTTTTAAAATATTAAATTAATAAATATATAAAATATCAAATAGAGCAAAAAATAATTTTGAATAGAATCTCGTTCGAGTTGATAAGAGTTAAAGAGTAAGTAACGTTTTTTGAAAATAACTCTAAGCTATTTAAATTTCAACTGTCGGCCAGGTGAGCATATTTTAAAGCTGGCTTAAATATGCGCTAATCACAGACAAAGTTTAGCTCATGTCACGAAATGTGGAGAGCAGCTGCCCTCAGACAAAGACTGCCGCACAAGGACGTGCCCGCATGCAGGTGAGCTTTCGTGCAGCTTCAGTTGCCGCTGCTGCTACACCTGGGCGATGCCTTCGTGTACAACCTGACGTATGAGTAATGTTGTTGGCTGTGATTTTGGCTTCCTTTGGACTGGCGCTGGCTGCTTGCATAATTTACGGGAACGAAAAACGCGCAGCAAATGCCTGGCAGAGATTGCTTACAGCCGGGAGCGCGTCTAGGAGCCGACAGTCGTGGGCATGGCAGCCACTTTAACTGTGCATCCTTTTTGCATAATTTATGCGCACACAAAACTTAAAGTTGAAGTATATATATGCAGGTGCCCTTCGGCCCTTCGGCCCAATGCACACAACTTACCCCTGACTCTCCATGTAATGCTTGAGCGTGATGCCCTTGGCCCAGCCGGCGAGCATTTTCTTAAAGCTGCCACTGGAGCTGGCCACAGCGACCATACGCTCCTGGAACTTCTCAAAGACACGCGGCACGCCCATAAACCGTGTGGGCTGTGCATCCTGCAACGATTTAACCAGCGTGCCCTTTAGTGCATCCTTATCGGCAAACCATATACAGCCCGCCATGGAGGCAACCGTATAGATGTCCACGGTCTGTGCAGCCACGTGGGAGAGCGGCAAATAGGAGACCATTGCCTCGGAGCCCATCACCACCTTCTCCAGGCCCTTGGCGATGCCGCGCGTATCGAACGCAATATTATCATGGGATAGCATCACGCCCTTGGGCATGCCCACTGTGCCGGATGTGTAGACCAGGCAGCAGCACTCATTGATGGCAATTCTCTCCAGTCGGCGCTTGAACTCATCCTCGACGTCAGCCACGTTCATGGACTCAATCTCTGACCACTGTAAAGATCGGATGTTAATGAAATTAGCAATTTAACAAAAAATAAAAGTTCGCGTTGCAATTTACCCTATAGTAGCCATCCTCCTTCTTGAGATTTGGCGCATAGGGCTCCTGTATTTGTATGGCAGCCTTCAGATTTGGCAGCTTGTCGCGTATGGAATGTATTTTCTCCATTTGCTTGGCATCATCCACAACGACAATCTGGGCACGGGAATCCTCTAGCACATGCTGCACTGCCTCCGCCGAGTTGGTAGTATAAATGCCGGCTATAATGCCACGTGCATGTATTGCGCCCATGGCCGAGTAGAACCATTCGGCGCAATTGAAAGCCAACACGCCCACCGAATGATGCTCCTGCAGGCCCAGTTTAATGAAAGCCTTCGCCGTCTGGTGCACCTTCTGCTCGTATTGCCTGTGGAGTGGGAAGGGCGGAAAATACAAATGGGTTAGAGTTAAATTCAATAAGTGATAAACCAATTTTGGTAGAGCGCAATTCGAAGGAACTAGAGATGGGCAAGTGCGCGATAGTTTAAATAGAACACGAACTACACTTAACAAGACACGACAAACACGACCTTTTCAATTATGAGAGCTGCTTTAGGAAAAGCAATAGGAAAAGCCGAGTCGACTTTTAAGTATGGATTTTTAGAGACTGCAAAAAATTTAATCTTCGTAGTTTCGAAAAGGCGCTTCTTTCTTTAAATATATGAAATATATTCGTGTTTAGAAGTACTTTTTATTTATAATGCAACCGATTCTAGGCAGATCCCTGCCCATCGCTATGGAAACACTCTCTCTGAGCTCACTTTGACTTACTTATAGGTAACTGTGGTGTAGCCATTTTTGCCGTTCTTGGTCCGCAGCGCCGGATAGTCGGAATAATTGTTGACGGTACGCTTGAGCAGGCCGGGTATGGAGATGGGCTCCTCGGCGCCGAGTCCCTCCTTTTGCATGCGTATCTTAACGGCCTCCTCGGGATTGGTGGTGCGATAGACCTCCGAGGACCTCAGGCGATTGGGGCCTGGGCGATTGAAAAGCGCTTCGTTCGGATTGGCGGCCATTTGACTGAAATTGAATTAACAAGCTATTAGTGGAATACAAATTACATTTCCTCTTTGAGGCCTAGCAAATGTGGTATGTTACTTTCTGGGAACGTGTCTGCACAGTAACAAGACGGAGGGGTCAAGGCTGAGGCAGTCGTATGTCTCTTATCGCTATGCCTAAATTATGACTTAACACCTGATTAGGGCGGCATGGGGCACTCATATAACTGCATATTATAAATACGTATTGATCAGAATTTATGGCCTACTATACCTTTACGGAGTTACGGAGCAAATAACTGGAGGATTAGAATGGAGAAACCCTTTAACGAAAAGTTGCTATATCATAGTATTATATCATTTTATATAATTGCAAATTGGCAATAAAAATAAATATTTATAGATCAGAATTTATGATATACTATAACTTTATGTGTCGAGTCAGCTAAAAAATTTCGGATTCGAATTTAAGAACCCCATATATTATAATAATAATATTAGAACCCAAATTTTAAGAAGGTATCAGAAGTTGAAATTGATTAGAAAGTCGAAATTTTATTATATCATATACCGAAACGTATATAATAAATAAATATAGATCAGAAATTATGGCATGCAAAAGGATTAATAATAGGCAAACATATAGAAAATATCTATGCACATTAGGATGGAATATGCTTGGAACTGATGGATTTTACTTGAGCCCCCTTTTGGGGGAAGAAAAAGCCACTTGATTTTATAATATCGTAAATTCTTTAGGCAAAGCTTCTATATTTGTCATTAGTTGTGTAAGCATAAAATTTCCTTTCAGTCTTATCATCAATAAGATAATGCCACACACCGCAGAAGTCTTGGCTTACCATGGTTAACATTCGATTTTATTTTTCGGGTACAAAGGGCTACGACTTGGCATATAGTTTACGATATCTATCTATGTATACACATGTAGCCAGTGAATGTTCATAATTTTTGTTATTGTTTCGACTTTTTTTTCGTTTCTTGTTTTTATTAATCAATAAACTGGCAAACAGTTTGATACTGATAAGGGCAAATGCCCAAAATAAACAACAAAAAGTGAGTTTTTTTTAAGAATGAAAAGAAGAAATCCAGCAACAACAATATGTACTAAACGAGTCCAAAGTTTATGGCCAAGGCAAAGCGGTTGATTTTTCATGTTTAGTTGGAAAACATTCTGCCAGTCGCTCGGTTACTTAGTAGGCGGAGTTCCGCCCATGATTAGCTCTGATTGATGGACGGAGGCTCCCCCACAAATGCTGTGCAATTAAAAAAACACCTATATATATATATATAACGAATGATTGACAGTTGTCTAATGCACACGCGAATTTTTTATTGAAATTGTTAGCTTAAAATGTTGATGTCTGTCAATTGAGCATTGTTTTTGATTTTGATTTTATAATAGGGAAAGTTGTTGTTAGTTTTAATTAATAGATATATAATAACGAGCTATAGATCCTAGGACTAACTGTTCTGAGTATGCAATTAAGTAGAATATAAACTGGCTTTATTAAGTGGGAAATTAATTGACGTATTCATTAGAACAATCCCAAACTCAAAGAAAATTATAATTTTGAATACGAAATTCAAGGACCTAGTTTTTTACAATTCCTTAAGCTAATACCATTATTATTATTACTTTTCTAAATTTTTTCAAACAATATTCAGAATACTCAATAAAAATCTAAAATTCAAATAGAGAACTTATTAAATAATTTAATGAAAATTATAATAAGCCTTAGTTTTTGTACAATTCCTAAAGCTATTGCTATTACTCACTATTATCTTTTTTATTATCATAAGAAATCTAATAAGTCCTTCTACATACATGTTTTAAAATATTATTTAGAATACTAAATACAAAATCTAAATAAAAGAACTAATAAAATAATTGAATGCCTATGAAAAATTGTTTGTGGAAATTCGTTGGATCTTGTAAATCACAAAAATCAAAACTAATCATTTTACTAAGTAACTTAATTTGTATTATAAATAAATTAAAACATTTTCGCCGACACATTCAATTAAACAAGTTGATAATTAAAGCTGATATCATTAGAAAGTCAGACTCATTAGTTTGATTTATTGTACAATCAATAAATTCTCTTTTTTTCAAAAGAATTATAATTATCATTGTAATTATGAATTACAACGGAAGCAAAGTCTAGAACTTGAATATTTCAAGTGATAAGAACAAAGTTTACAGCTGTTTTATTCTCGCTAAGCAACGATTAAAAAGCACAGTATGCTGCTCACTGGGATGCAAAAACTGTGAATATTATAAGCATATAGACACTTCTCGATTCCAAGTTGACAAAACTTTTAGTTTCAATGAAAACTGATGATTTCTATAGGCCAATACAATGAGAAAATAATACAATCGTACAAACGTACATACATTTCAATGTGAGTTTAAAAAAACATGAATAACTATATTTTTTATTAACGAACGATCACGGTGTATACTATTCTAGTATATTTAGAATATTTTATATGCAAATATCGATAAATATATAGAATTAATAACTAGATACATATCATAGAACTGTTGTCTCTGAAGAAATTACTTCATTGAAACACACACAGTCATACAAACATACATACATATGTTCACAGCACGATATATGCATGTATGTATTCATATATGTATGTACATACATAAGTATGTACATACTTTTGTCTCTACAGAATTTGCGTAGTTTTATAGCTGGGCGACTATGCCAAACTAAGCATATTAGAAACCGGCTTTTAAGTTGATAAGAACAACAGTGTAGCGTCTAGACATTTTTCTATCGTACGATTCGCATAGCATCGGCTTTAAGCAAGAACTGAAATAGTTTTTCGCTTTGTAAAGTGCTTGTGCAAAAACTGTGTAATAAAAATGTATCATAAAGTCGAAACCGCAAAGAGAGCATTTTACAGGCGACCTAAGAAGCTGCGGATGAAAACAAAACAGATAATTAACAGTTCTAAAAATATTTGCCATACATATGAGCGTGTTTGTGTGTATGTAATTTTTTGTTGTTTTCGAACAGTTGGTATTAAAACGAACCAAAAGAGAATGGCATGTCACATAACTGAAGAATTGCGGTTTTTTTTTTTCGAAAGTGGAATGAGCAAAAAAAAAGATGGGCCAAAGAGAGATGGTTTGAAATGCGATCAAAGCAAAATAAGAAATATAAGACAAGCGAAAGCTAGAGGCGCAACTGACAGTTGAAAGGTGACAATGAACCCGAGAGGACAGTGCACTGACCCACTAAACTGAAGCACTGGAGAAGAGCCAAAGAGAAAAATATAAACAGCCGGCAAGTGTTTGGGGCCTGTGTTTTCGAAAGCGCCGAAACACACGTGTTTCAAGGGGCGTGGGCGTGGGCGTGGGCCGCAGCGCAGGTGTCAAACGCGCAAGTCACGCACTGTTCTTCCTATATTTCTTTTATGCTTTATGCCAAACTTACATAATTTAACTATATATATATGTATGTATTTTGAGTTATTTATTGTTTTGATGTTATTTTCGTTAGCGTTCAGCGCAACACTTTTTTTTCACTATTTTTGAATTTATTTGCTGGTTCAACTTTTTACTTATAGCACGACCAAAGCAAACGACCGCACGCAGCGAAGCCAAAGCGTAAACTGAAAGCAGAACAGGATCGCTTGCTATTGAAATCGTGGATCGACGCTGGCGACGCTGCTGCTGCCGCCGCTGCTGCCGTTGTCGCCGTTGGCGCTGTCGATAAGTCTTCAAGCGGTTTTAAGCATGACGACTTAGAGAGCTACCTGCTTTTGCGTTCTTATCAGTTGAGCGCCCCACATTGCGCGCTCGCTCGCTCGCACGTCGAAATCGAATTCGAAACGGGCCTTATGGTAAGTTCATGCATACAGAAGCGTTATTCGAAATCTGTCTGATCTTTGCTTGGAAATCGTAGATGAAAAGCAACAACAACTAGTTGCTCTTATCAGTTCAGTTAAATGTTTTCATTCGAGTTTGCGCCCTTGTTTAAATCTTTTGAAACCCGTGCTGCCCGATTTACTATGTGTCTTGTGTTATGGTTCTTACCCTGGTTCTTTTCTCATTAAGTATTTCAAACAAAAGCCCTTTGTTTATCCCCTATGGAATATTTTTAATATTTCCCTATTTTACTCTGTTCACAAATTGCGAAGGGTATATACATATGTAAGTTTTGTAACTTTTTTGACTAGCTGTCCATCCATTATATTGTTAAGAAAACTCTTTTAAATTTTTACAAAAAACATGGATTTTCAAAAGTCAAGTTTCTTCGGGTATATAGATTATTATATGGATGATAAGCAAAAGTTACTTTACATCGGATATATAGAGTATTGTACGGAGGGGCCAAAACTCTTTCGACAAAAGAGAAAGAAAAACAAAAAAAAATTAATCGGGGGTCTTACTTCAGATATACTGAGTGTACAGAGTATTGTGCGGTCAGTAACGTTCTTACTTGTCGATTTTCCATAAATATACTATATATATATATTTTAATTTAGTTTGTCAGTTTTAATCAGAAAATATATATAACAATATAATTAAACGAATTTAATATTACCCAACCTTACGAAATATGTTCGTCTAGTATAGTATATAAGTAAAGTATATCTATAGAATCCTATATTGTTTTGTATAGAATTTGATCAACTTCAACATCAACAATCAACATCAAAATTCAGTTAATCCAAACTAGAACACGCACACTAAATTTTTACCATTTATAAGAATTTAGATTATTACTTTTTTTTAATACCAATCAATTACTTTAATCTATCAATCAAATTTTTGAGTTTCTGTTACACAAATATATATACACTTTTTTTATAGTTTAATTAGATTTCTATGATTTATTTTAAAATTTAAAATTTCTTTATAATTTATTCATACACTTAGCATAGTATCAGCTACAATAAAATGAGGTACTTACTGTATACCCTAGATGTATTCAATATATAGATTAATCACATCTCAAGTGAGTAATATTAGTTAGTATATTGCTGGCATGCTTTAACTAAGTGTGCAGCTGCTTTTTCTTTCAATTGATAGCGCATTTTTTGTAAATGAATCTTACAATTGGAACCTGCAGAAATGAGAACCTACTAAAAAAAATAGGCGAAATAATCTATCAAGAACTAGCTGTAATCAGTTAAGATTAGCTTGAAAAAGGCATATAATTAATCTAAGCGAATATAAATTTTAATGTTATATGTTATGTAGAAATCTATGTGCGTAGTTTGTTGTTTTTTTCTTGTTTTTTTGTTTTTATAAATTATTTTTAGCCTTGAGGCTAGGCATGAACTTGACTTGACTATACTTAGTATAGCTTACTAGGCATATAAATTTGCGCACTTTAGCTTTAATATTCCGATTTTTCGCATAAGTTATATAAATATTAGTAAGCATCTTTAATTATAAATAAATACTAAGCTGATAAAATAGAATAAATTCCTTATAAAAATATACAATTATTTGGCGAGCCCAAAAATAAACCAATAGATAATACCTGCGCTTATCTGCACTCGCTTAAGAAGTCAAACACCTGTTGTATTAATCAACCAATAATTTAAATACCCTAATGAATCATAAATATATGAGATAAAATTATATTAAAATAATTTTACATTTATTATCAGAATTCCAAATAAAAAGTTGAACTAAGATAAAACGCTCGTTGTTCTGCTTGAGCTGACGCATTCACTGTATCTATATGTCTATATATATATATGCATATGTATGGGTACAGAAAAATAAACTCTATCAACTGACCGATTCGAAATATCTTGAAATATACAAGTTTGGCTGTTGCCAATTGTTTTGTTTTGCCGCTTATCAAACAAATTATACAAGTTGGCCACATTTTATGATTTGATAAACATGCGAGTAGCATTAGTTTGAGCCCATAAACTGCAGTACACTATGTACTATGTACTATATATATATATATACATATAGCCACCATAGTCGGCAGTTCTTTTTTAAAATTTATGTCCAACTTGGGGCACACTTCCGTCGCTGCCTAATCTTGGACGGCAACCTGCCAGAGGGCAAAGGTGTGCACCTGAATCTCCCCCTGAATCATGACTGGGAATTAAAAATTTCAGTTGCCCGTGGCGTTGTATTTATTGATAAGATTATCTGTTTCTATAGCTTATATAAATCACAATTTTAGCATCTTTATGGCTAACTAAATGCGACGGCTTCGCGATTATCTCTCGACCACTTCAATCACAAATCGTACATAGATACAGTTTCTATATATAAAATATATATATTTATTTATATATATCATTTTTTTTCTTGTCTCCCATCTATAGCTCTGACATAATAAACATCAATTTATTAGGCATATAGTATTTAAATTCTATAGTTTTTTTTTTGCTGTCCTTATCAATGGGAAAACACGAGTTTTTCATTTTTTTATATATATTTTTGTCTGTACCACGAAAGTTGCCTAAGTGCACGAGCTTCTTTTAGTATACTTAAAAGTTGGTAGCCATATTTTGTCCAAATACCAGGTAATTTGTTAAAGATAATGTTAACTATGAAAGCAAGACATTAATCAGCCCACTATGACAAGCAAGAATATAAAATGAAATGTAATTATTTGTGTTTTTATAAAATTCAATATATAAAGTAGATCAGAGTTTGAATCCCGACTATATTATGAATATTCTAATATCTAAGATATAAAGATTTATCAGCTTTCTTAAATTTAATTTATCTTTCGAAATAAGAAGATTTGTTTTGTTATATTGATCAAGATACATTAGGAATATAGCTTAATTAATGAAAAATAATTTAATCAATTAAATTTATAAATATATAAAAAAAAGTATTCAAAAATATGAGCAACCAATAAATTACAATAGTAATTTGATATTAATATATATAAAAAATTATTTATATATAAATATAATATATAATATATACATATATTTTATATAAATATATAATTATAATCGATTTATTAAATAAAGAGACCCACAGCTAAGTAATTACATTAAATTTTTTTTTTTTTATTTAATGTGCTATTTTTTTAATAATACTAGCAACAATTAATTATTATAAGTATTAATTATCAAAATAAAATACCTAAGTTCTTAAGTTGAAATTACATTTTGCTTAGTATGCTTAAAGCGTATATATTAATTTAATGTTATTTTTATTATAATTATTAATTATAAAATACCTTTACTTTTAAATTATTCTTAGTTCTTCAATTATTAATTTATTCTTAAATTATTTAAATTAAATTAGCTGAATTTGTCACTGCCAAGCTATTACATATAAACATCAGATAACTAAAAACCAATAATTGTAATAATAATTTAATTAAATAATTTTAATAATTAATTTAAATTCAAAATTCCACTTGACTTGGTATTTTTATATGTATATTCATTAAATGCTGTTTTTTTTATTATTATAATTAATTAAAATTCGAATAAATAATAAAAATATATAACAGAAAGTAAACTAAACTAATTTTATTCATAAATAAAATGTAGGCAGTTTAATAAATAATGTTTATTTTTATTTTGGAACTTATTTAGATAAATAGTTACAGCAAATAATTTTTATAATTAGTATTATCTAACAAAATTAAATTAAATTAAAAACACCATTTAGCTTTGTATTCGTAAAGATTTGTTTATTTATTAGAAATAATGAACATTATTATCTTAATTAATTAAGAAAAAACAAAGTAATTTAATTCTATACCTAAATTTAATTAAAAGCTCCACTAAGAAGAGTAATTATAAATATAATTTTGTTTACTTAATTAATTGTGGAAGCTTATTTTTTCATAATGGCCATACAAAGCGCGCACGAGTGCGAACATTTTTTCGATAGACTGTAAAAGCTTTCGCTAAAGCTCGTGCATATAGCCAAGTTTAAAACCTTGCAAAAGCTTAATTTTATGTTAAGCTTTTGGTGAATTCGCCGCAAATTAATAAAAAAAAACCGTGCTGTAAATTGAAGACAGACAGTGATATACATAAGTATATGCACGTCTGTTAGGCTATCAATTTACCAAGCATTGGTTAACATTTTAGCCGTGCTGAAAGACAATTGCACTGCCCAAGGGAGGGGGGAAGGGGTCTGGTTCGGGTAGGGTGTGCTTTATAAAGCGCATATACATATAAGTTCAGTGACAGCCATCATTTGTATGCTTGTGCCTTAAGTGCGCTTTATATGAGAGTCGAGTCCTGTCAACGGGATGAAATGAATACTAAATTGAACTACAATTTCGAAGTCAATCCCGATTCCGATTCCGATGTCATGTTAATGAGATTGTCGTCAACGGAATCAAATTACGTGGCACAAAGTTGCTGTTTATAGCGTGAGGACACGCCCACACACACACACACACACACATGCACAGTAAACGCATGCAAATGATGTGCTGATGTGTAAAAAAAAAGACTTAAAAATAAACACGAAAACCGTTTAAGCACAGGTTAGCAAAAGCAATGAACGTGTGTTGGCATTTCCAGCAAGTTCATAGTACTTAAGTGCTTAAAGGGTTGGATGTTGCACGGGGAGGGGGGGGGGGGTGGCAGAGGGCTTAGGGCAGCATCCTGCTGGGATAACAAGTGTTTGGCTAATTAACTCAGTTGAAACGCGCCACACACACACACACAGCCAGACAATGAACTGTTCTGTACTGCATATAATTGTCTTGCCACGCCCACTCGCCGACAGCCATTTGGGCAGCAGGATAACAAAAGGAGTAAAGCGTAAAGTTGAACTGTTTAGAATTGACCATAAAAATATCAGATTTTATGACACTTGCGAATGGGATTTAACGTGATGTGTCCTTATGTGGGTACTCGATATTATCCTCAGCCTTAATTGTGATTATACAAATCGTACTTAATGCGAAATCGTGAGAGTATCGATTTAGGGAAATGGGCAGATAGTTTGTAATTAAGCTAAGGGAGATATATTTGAGTTTTTTATGATAATAACTGCATTAATATATGTTTATTATTAACTGTATATTGTATCATAAAGAGATAATATAACTTATAATATAATATAACTTTTTAATTTTATTGGCTTAGCAGACAATGGTATCGAAATATCAGTATTTAATTCAAAATGTTAAACTAATTTACTTTAAAAACAGGTAAATTAATTGTTTATAATTCAGCATCGAAAAAATGCTTTTCAATGATTATTTGGAAAATATTTTAAAACATTAAGTTATATATTCATGTTTATTAAGGTTAATTCTATATAATTAAAAATAAATATTGAAATAAAACAAATAATATACTTTATCTTGATATATATGTAAATGTGTATGTAAATATATCAACATATTTATAATTTAAATGTTAAGCATTGTTGTTTTTATATCAATTTAAATTATGTTTTATATATGTATTTAGTAACATACTTCATTCGTTGTGATTTATTTTAACAGTATTCGTTATTTCGTCAGATTATTCAATTACATTTTAACAAATATTTGAAATGCAACTTTTTTTTTCTTTTTTTTGTAAATAATAATTTATTAATTTTATTCATTACTTTTAATTGCTTTAATTTTAAACAAATTATTTAAACATAATATTAGTGTATTTTCATTAAACATTTAATTTTTGTTACCTTTAATTAAAATATACTTTGAAAACTTAATCTATCCCAAATATTTTAATATTGATTTTATTTATTTACTTTTATTTATAAGTAACATTATTTTCAAATTTTACAGTTATTAAATTATTTTATAACGTATACTTACATATATATCCATATATATACAAATATTTTTGAAATACAACTTATATTGCTCTTATTGGGAAATAAATATTTATTGTTACTATTAATTATTATCATATTTAAATTATTTTTTTTTAATTATTTCTTTTATTATAATTTATTTTTTTAAAAATAAACAGAATTAATTTTTTTCTAATAATGTTTACAAGTTTTTTATATTTTAATTTATTTTAATTGAATTGTGAAATTTAATTTAAATATTTATAAAAATATTACCTAGTGATCTCTTTTAAAAAATTCTTTTATACAATAATTTATAGTTATCGCAGCATTTACAAAAACATTTTCTTTTCGAGCGCCGTTGAATTATATGCTGACTGCTACGAAATAATTCCCAACGCGCGCACACACGCGCGCACTCACACACACAGCGTATAAGAAATACCTTATAAAATCTATAAATAGACAATTTTATCAGCATGCCTCAGCCAAAAATTTCTCACACTCAATGAATTTCGTATACTATGTAGCCAAGAGATATAACTACCCCAATTAGGCAGCCTTCATCAACCGGTTCTATGGTGTAATGGTTAGCACTTTGGACTCTGAATCCAGCGATCCGAGTTCAAATCTCGGTAGAACCTTGAGTATAATTTATTTTTTTTTTATTTTTTATTCATTTTCTGTTGCGTTTCTAAAACACTTTCCGCTGTGCCAAGACAATTAGTTTGCTCGTAAATTGGAAGCAATTCGCAGTGCAGGGAATAAGAAAACTGTTTTAGAGCCAACCTAGCCTTTATCCAGGCAACTGCAGTCCTTGGCAGAAATGTCTATTTCTATTTCTATTTTACAGTAACAGTTACATTTGCATGTGTTGAGTTGGCTTTAACTACAGCAAATAGTTTGTTGGCTCTAATAAAATGCTATTGGCCATAAAAGGGGATGGAATAAAAGGCAAATGTTGGCAGCGTGGAATGTTTTTAGAAATGCTGCTGAGAGAGGGAGAGACAGAGAGAAGTAGAGAGAGAGAGAGAGAGAGAGAGAGAGATAAATGAATGATAAGTCCAACTTGGTTGTGCCATTTGCCGCAACATTGTTTTGATTAATTTGACAAGCAAAACTTAAAGCTTTACGAAAAGTATCTTTAAGATACATGCGAGCAAATGCGACACTAAGCTGACCAGTCAGCTGGCAAATGCAACTGGTTGCTTAAGCTTTTAATATCCAAACATAAATAGTCGTTGATTAACTTCATGTGAACGGCGACCTTTGCCCCCAAGTTTTGGCCCGCATCAAGAGTTCAAGTGTCATAATACGCAATAGCCGCCCACAATCAAGGCTAATTATAGACACACGCAAATGCGTCGCACATTTTGGAACAGCATAATCAATAATCGATAATTGACAAATTAAGCAACATTTGCGTATATCTGGCAACGCTTGACTTTAATTTCATGCCACAAGTGTCGCAATGTCAACGCTAATTAATTGGATTTCTTAACGCAAACTGAAACCGTAACTGAAACTGTTACCGAAAACCGAAACATTTGCTGCAGCTGCTGCCGTTGCCGCTGCTGGCCAATTGACCAGCTTGCCCCATGGCTGTGTCTGTCAGTACTCAGTTCACTTGTCAAATTTCAATAATTTAGCACACGAATCTGTCCAGACAGAAGCTGTCAGCGATAAGCCAGACGAGCAACAAAGACAAACAACCAGACAACACTTTGCAACAAATTTTGCTAACCCTTAGACAACACTTGCTGAAGTACCACAAAAACTGAGTACATTCACTTGATAAAGAAGGTTGAACAAATTTCTGTGATAGTAAAGCATATTAATATCCTAAGGTCTTTATCGATAACTGTGCTGTCGATAAACGCATCCTTTGTTTTGCTCATTTTCTTTAATATTTAAAATAACGCCAGGCTCACTTAAATTAAATGACAACCACACGAACACAAGACAAGTGTTATCGATAGACAACTTGCATTTGTTATCGATTTTTCTTATTTATACTTTATTTTCCATTTGTCACACCTAAATCTTGATATTAGCCTAAGTCATAAGTTATAAACATTTAAATATAGTGTGCAACATTATCGATAAACAGTTTTCTGTTGTTATCGATTACAAATTCGATAATTTTATACTAGTACAGGATCATTAAACGCTTAAGGGGAAATAAAAAAGAATTTACATTGAAATTAATAAAATTAACATTAAAATAAATAAAAAACATAATCTTTTGATAAAAATAGGGCATTCAAATCATTGTTAAACTGTTATTATAGATTTGAATATAATTTGAATACATCTAATCGATAGCAGAAAATTATTTTAATCGATTATTTTTATCGATACCACACATGGAAATTTGCGTCAATTAAATTCGATCAAAGCAATTTATTAATTTTTATCCTAAATAGTTTACAATATTCTTTAGCAAACCCTCCCATATTTAGTTTACTTCAGAACGAGAGAGAAAGCGTATTTGGTTTGTGTTCTATAGAGAAAGTAAATTTGATTTCTTGTTGTTTACTTTTACTTTTTGGTAGAGAATTTCTGAAATTGTAAACGTAAAATTAAATGAGATTCGTCTCGTGGCGTTTATTTAATGCGCCTCGTTGGTTACTCCTATAAAAAAATCCCCAAGTTCTGCTTGCATCGAATCCGCAGAGGTGACATCGAGGTAAATTGTTATGGCACCCCAACAAATGTCACATCGACCAACTCCACACACCGCTCGCTATATTATGCAATAAACATTCGCGGTTGGGCATCAGAATAAGCGCGGAGCATTAAAGCCCGAATAGCTCAAACATCACATGGGTTATTAAATTTAATCACAAGTGTCTCAGCTGACGTTGGGACTAATAGGAACGGAATGGAAATGGCAATGGGATTCGTGAACGAGAGTTAAGATAAATGACGAGTAAGGAAATTGGAACATTGTATCTTTTTAAACTAAAGGTTAATTTTTTATACCCCGAACCCATTGAAAATGGGTAAAAAAGGGTATTATGTATTTGTTATGTTATGGGTTATGTATGTAACAGGCAGAAGGAAGCATCTCTGACCCCATAAAGTATATATATTCTTGATCAGCATCAAGAGCCGAGTCGATCTAGCCAAGTCCGTCCGTCTGTCCGTACGCATGAACGCAAGGATCTCAGAACCTATAAGAGCTAGAGACTTGAAATGTTAGCTGTAGGTCCTCCTAGTCCCCAGATCAAGTTTGTTTCCGATAGTCGGTAACTTGCCCCGCTTCCAAGTAATCGATAAAAATCGATATCGAAATCCTGTTTTTTGAGCAATTTCGGCAGATATGAGCTAGAGTTACCAAACCTGACATGTAGCTTCTAGAATAGTATATATATATTTCAAGTATCTTTCATTTTATACCTATCGCCTGTTGGAAGAAGAGGGTTCAGGGTATCCCCTCTAGAACCTCCTACTTGTTTTATTATAAAATATGATTTATTTCAATAAAAGATATTTGGTAGCAATTTCACTTGTTCGGTAAATTAAACATAAAATTTCGTTCAACTGTCGACATAACTATATTGGGCTTTTGCATAAAGGTTTCTAATCGATTACGGTCCACCAGGAAGGGCTCCGGCATCGGATATGGTGCAATTGACTTTGGTGGCAAGGCGTCCGCAATGGTTGGATAATGCCTTAAATGACAGTGGCACCTCTGGCATCGAGTCGTTATGACCATTATATAGTATGCAATATCCTGCAAGCGTCTAGATTCTGCTTCGTAGTTGAATAATTCTCTGAGGGATTCGACACCACGTCTCATAAATGTGTACGTCCTTAGGATATATTCGGTAATTCGTTCGATCGGTACACCTATAATGATTTATCGTAGTCTGGCCAGTGTGTATATGGTGTTGGGAAAAAAGTGTTCGAAAATATCATTGATAATTGTTATACGCACTAGTTATCATGTTGAGTACGATTGCGGCCAAACGTTGCAGGGAAGCTATGAAACCATTTATGCATGCCTGTAGATCCACTCGTGTTATTCCTGTCATCAGTTCATAATAAAATTGTACCGAATTGCGCGACGCCTGTTGCTGATGATATCCGTCCTCAGTGTCCGAGTTATTGTTGGGCGAATCGCCGGTGGGCAATCTTTCCAGGACATCCGTGTTCTTATTGTGTGGCAACGTATAGGTTCTACATAGAAAACGCAAAAAGGACGTCTCCATGCCGCGTTTCTGTGGCACAATTTCGGGGCTCAAACGTGTAAACGGAGTCTTATTGCGCAATACCACGGGCATTGCCACATTGACGCGATTGCGGTGCCGTGGCATAAACTCATCCAGAATCAGCGACCAATCCGGCGCCTGCCTTGGCGATGACTCGGCGCCGGGGCTGACGATCAGCTGTTTGGAGTGCTCCATAGACGTTGAACCACGCAGATCGGCATTGGTGGGCGATGCTACTATTAATTCAAGCATATTCAATGGAGTTGCCAACTCGTTCTGTACTGTATAAAATTTGAGCTTGTTGTTTGAATTTACCATATGCTGATAGGTTTGTGTATTGAACACCGAAGACTTCATTTTTTTATGTTAGATTTGAAAAAAATAACTAAAATATGCATAAAAAAAGTTAAAGGTATAAAAACACAAACATTAAATTTTGGGGAAGCAGATTCTAAACGCGTTAAAAATTAAAAAAAAAATTTTTTGAACAGTCCGATTAGTTTCAGGTTTGTGTTAATTGTGTGAGCTCCACGAAAGTATTTTAAGCCAAACACGAAATTTCCCTTCAATGCCAACTAGATACTTTTTTTGTGGGAACATATTTCAATATCAAATTTATATAGGGTATCTGGTTTTCGGCACAAGCTCTACTGCCAATATGTTTTTTTCATTTCGATAACCTTTGATCAAATTTAGCGCCACAATTACATTGAGTAGCTGCTCTGGTATGACTGAAAGACTTGCAGATACCCTGTCATTTAAGCAAAATAAAAAAAATCATAGAAAATAGAAAAACGAGAAAATAAGTAAAGTTGTGGACATTTGCCTTTAGCAGATTTGTAAGAATAGTGAAGCTCGTAAATACTGAGTTTGAGCCTACTTTTCGTTCCATGTGCAGCTATATGATATAGGGGTTCGATCCGGTCGGTTCCGATATATGAAATGCCTGGAACAGAAAGAAGGGCCTTTGTAAAGTTTCGAGACGATAACTTTAAACTGAAGGACTAGTTCGCATAGAAAAAGACAGACGGCCGGACGGACATGGCTATATCAACTCGGCTGTTGATGCTGATCTAAAATACATAACAATACGTAACACATTTCATGGCCAATTTATTATACCCTCTAAGAGGGTCAACAAAATCGAATCCCTTAGTTATAATACAGCCTTATATACCTTATCCAGCTCAAAAAGTTCTCTGACATAATATGATATAGGGGGGGCAAATTTCTCATTCGCTTTGCATAAAGAAAACATTGAAGTGCAGCAAATGTTCGAGCATTTCGGTTTTCCTTTCTGTTTTTTTTGTGTTTTTCGTATTTCAAATTGATAAATCGTTGAGATTTTCTTTATGAAGCGTATCCAAACAAACATAAAATGGGTGAGAAAAAGTTCCCAAACAAAAGTCAATATCAGCAGCCATAATAAAAACAAAAAATTTTTTGTCATCTGTTTTTTTTTGTTTTGTTGCTTCTTGGCTGCGTCAATAAAAAATGAATGCCAAAAATTCAGCACTTTTTGGGATTTTTTTTTAAATATTTTTTTTTTTGTTAGCTGGCACTTTGAGTGCATGTAAGAGAATGCATATGAATAAATATTTGTGCGATTTTTTATGCAAATTGTTGGGCAGCGCACTTTGATTACCTGTACAGGCTGCTATTTAAATTCTTATGTGTATTCCGAGTTGATGCTGTTTGCACATAACCTCACTTTTACGTGCTACTTTTATTCTAGTTGAGGCTGATTGAATATAACCTCACTTTTTTTTGTTATATTTTGTACATTTTTTAAGTCAAACTCGTTTCTCTCTTTGCTGCTGTTAAAATATATGCTATTTATTTGTTATAGATTAAGATTCTATGTAACTTCTTTTCCTTGCTTCTGTTATTCTCTTTGATGCATATTCAAAATAACCTCACTTTTCCAAATTCTTATTTTCTTCTTCTTCTTGTATGTAACGTTATTTTCTGGCATCCATTTTCTAGCCACTTTTAACCTAATTTTACTGTACGATATCTCAAAATCAAATACTAAACATGTCAGCTAAATTTTCCGGGCAGACGTAAATTTCTGTTGAGAAAACTAATTAACTTAAGATAAGAGATAATCAGCGTGACAAATTTAATGCCATAATAAGGCCAAATGGGCCATTGGATATTACCAAAATTAAAGATGTCCATTTTTGTTTTTGCCTTTAAGACCAGCAAATTTATCAAGAAATTAACGCCTAACCTGACTTTTTTTTCCCACCATCTATTTTCAGTACTTGAAAGCCACTAAGTGCCAAGAAGAAGAAGAAGAAGAAGAGAGGGAGAAAAGAAATGTTGTCTCATTTGGTTTAATGTCATAAATTTTGTTACTTGCGGCTGGGGACAAGGTCATTGGCCAAGAGCTATACAAAAACAAAACTGTCCAAAATGCTCTAAGCTGCTCGAAATCCCGCGGAAAGCTCTGTCCGCAACAACAATAATCAATATTCCTCCTGGCTTAAAGGAACAAAAACCAAGCAGAGAGAGAGAGACAGGGAGAGAAGGCTAGAGATAAAGTGAGTGTGAGTGAGAGAGCGGGAAGTACTGTGACCTTTGTGAACATTTGACCAAATATCGGCCCAGTTGCGTGTTTGACATGTCATTCGATGCCGCCTGAATAAACTTGGGACACGTTTTCTTGGCCTGGTCAACAGGAAGCACATTAAGCATTGGATTCCCAGAATGGGCCACAGGCCATGCTGAATAGCCAAGTTTTGCTTTGGGGCCACATTTAACGTGGCCTGTGAATTAACTGAATTTTCATGCCTGACTGGAAAGTATCCTGCTGCATTGTCCATAGAAACAAGTGTCGATTGATTTTCACTTGGTAAGCTATTAAATCCATAATAAAGACTTTTTAAAGCCAAAACCTTAAAATTTCAAAATTAGAAATTTGCCTGAATTTAAGTAGTAATTTATTTTAAATCTCAAAGATTCCTCATACACGCAATGCACATTAAAATAAAATATCTTTACACATCTTTTAACAATAATTGAATTCTTTTTATTTATTTTTTAAATGATGCTTTATTAATATTTTAATTATATTTAAACCATTTAAAATCACAAAAAAATTGGTTATTTTTTAAATTTTTATTTAAGTATTTTTTATATTATTTCGATTGTTGTTAAATATTTACATTGAATTTAATAAATGTTACATAAACTCTTCTTTAATTACTCTTATATTATTTATTTTCTTTTATATAATATTTTTTTTATTAATTTTTTTTTTAATTCTTCAAAAATAAGATATTCATAATGTGGCTTAATTTTAATTGCCCTTGCTTTTTGATGTTTAGTATATTGACACGAAAATACCTCAGCAAAAATAATTTTTTAAACTAATTTTAACCTTTCTAACTCTAACCTTTCTAATTCTAATCTATCTGGCTTTTTATTAATATATTAATATAAAAACATTTTTACTTTTATATACATTAGATATTTTGGAGGAAGTCTATTTGTCCGTTAAATTTTAGACCAAAAATAGAGACAAAGGAAGCAAGTTTCAAAAATAGTTATAATATTTTCTAGAATTTTAATTTCCAAAAAATTTCACAAACTTATATTTTTGATACCATTTTGCCCAGAGTCGTGGTCTTTATATTTATTCTTCATCTTAATAAAATTTGTAGAACTTTTTTAGGCTCGATAATTTGAATTATATAATTCATATTTATTCGCTCCGTTCCTAAAAAGGAAAAGAATAAGCATAAAGCAAAAAATGCCTAATCACAGATATTTGATTGTGAATATGCGTAATGGAAATTCCTTAAGCTATTTTCCTGTCATGTGTGTATGCCCCAATTTCTACCTATTTCATACGCCCACCCAGAATTCAGATTAAATATAAATCTTTTGGTTTCACTTTCACTTTTTGCAGTCACAGTCACAGGCAATTTATATGTAAAATGTGGTGGGCATTTCTAAGAGTTATCGCGATGCGAACTGACTTTTCCCTTAGAGCATTTTCTATTTATTTTCATTTTGAATTATGAGCCGAGCCGAAATTGCCAAACACGCAGAGAGAACTAAATTAAAATATATAAAAAAGAGAACAAATAAATAAAAGAGGTTGAAGGTTCAAGCTGACATGCGTGGACGCTGATAAAAATTAAAGTTGGGTAGCTACAAAAAAAAAGAAAGGGTTGTCGCAAACTATACGGAAAGTTGGGCGTGGCAAGTGTTTTGTGGGGCCATTGAACCCGGCGATTAATAAGGATCGGAGGACACTTCATGATTTATGAACTTGCGTGTTTCGGGAGCTATGTGGCATGTATTGAGCGAAGGCAATTTAAAGTTGTTGCTAATCGCGACTAACATGTCGTATACTTAATTTGCCAGAAACCTGGTTACTCACTTCGCCTTCCATTTGCATATTTATCTAATACCCTTAACCTGGCCGGGCGGGAGCAACAGCTGCTGTCAGCTCAGCAGTCCATGTCGGATTTACTAAGGACAAAGTAATGGCAATTTGATGAGTTGGACAAGGGGGACGGGGACGGGCAGTCGGGGGGCATGCATCTATGGAGTCAAAGGTGCATTGGCAGCGTGAAAATACTCGAGGATTATGTCGCGCCAGTTTCGTGTAGCTGCTAACTGAACCGGCGTACTTAAACAGAAAATACACCGAGAGAATTCACTGAATACAAAATATGCTAGGTATATTTGAAAATATTTCTTGGAGTAGTTACAAAACATTAGTTGCTCTAAAAAAGATGAATTACAAATTGGATACAATTTTTAATTTATCTTTTTTGAAACAGCAATTTTTGCTCTGATGAAATGCAAATTAAAAATTAAACAATAATTATAATTTATATTTATTTAAACAATTATTTTGGCTCTACATAAAACAAATAAACAGTATATGTTTATTTAAAATATATATTTCTCTCTCTAGGAAAGACAAGCTAAAAATTAATCAATTTATTTCATTATTTTTATTTAACCACATTTCTTATAAATTTATAAAAACTATTGTATTTCTGTTGTGTTTTTGGATATTTTATGTTATAAAATAAAAAAAAAAAAATTGTTTAACTCTAAAAGTGATAAAGTTAAAATTAAACAATAATTATAATTTATCTCTACTGAAACAACAATATTTTCTCAAAGAAAATGTAATTTAAAATATAACAAAATTTTTATTTTCTCTATATTTAGAGCAAAACGTTTTCTCTAGGAAAGATAAATTTGAAATTAAACAATAATTTTAATTATATTTATTAAACCAAATTTTAGTTGCTCTTTGAAATGTTTGTTTTTATCTTTATTTTTTTGTTTGCATTTTATTATTTTTAATAGGTTATAGCTATCAGGAATAAAAACTGCTTGACTTAAAGCTAGCCATAAAACTATACAACATTTTT